CCAGCCCCCCCCCCTCATTTGTGGCCCCCTCCTCCTGCAGGCGTTGTCCTTGCTGTGCCCCGGCCAGAGGGACACGGTGGGTGAGGTAACATCGCTGACTGGCCCCCCTTGGGGGGAAAGACGGGCTCTCCCGCTGTGCCCCCTTCCCTTCTCTGAATGGATCTGATGCTGTGTTTGAACCCCACCATGCTTTGTGGCCTTCACCACATCCCCTAGCAGTGAGTTCCACAGGTTGTCTGCCCATTGGGTGAGGAAGTGCTCCTTCGTGGCCTTTTTAAACCTGCTGCCTCTTAGTGTCCTCTGGGGACCCCTGGTTCTTGTGTTATGTGAAGAGGTAAATAACACTTTCCCTGTTTGTTTTCTCCAGGTTCAGGGTTTTATAGACTTCTATCATGTCTCCCCCTGGTTGGGAGGAGGGCAGGGACCACAGAGTGAACAAACAGGAAAGGAAGAGATAGGAGCAAGGGGGTGTGTAGGAAGGTAATAGGCAAGGTGTGTGTTAATCCTTCTCAATAGGAGGTGGCACTGCCCACATCTGCTTGTTCTCACGGTGGATATTACAGTAGAGCCTTCCACCCATGCTGCACAGAGATCAGTCTATCACTAGGAAATGTCGTTCTGTCTAGTGCGGTGTTGTGGTTTGTGGTTGTAAGCAGCTGTTGGCTCTTCTTGCAGAAGCTTCTTTGATGATGTGGGCGTTCTCTTCCAAATTGCACATGTGTGTGTAGTGTATGGTGTGCATGTGTATGGATAATGGTGTATGTCTGTCTATGTATATATCTATATGAATATACATATTGCTAGACTAGATAACCCACAGCCCATCTAGTCTGATATCCTGTTTGATAGAGGCCAGCAGCAGTTGTTTCAGAAGAAGATGCAAGAAACCTCATGCGGGAATTGCTCCTCCTCTGCCATTAGATCTCCTACCCTGATCAATTAGAAAAACATGAAGATTAAGATCTCTCCACAATTTTGTTAGCTTGTGATCTACCTCTTTATTTTATATATTTATATCATGTCCAGTTTTTATTTCTAAGGAAAACTATCCGTGTATTGTAAATCCCTTTTCAAGTGAGAGTTTTTCCAGACCATTGATCATTCGCATCTGTCTGCTCAAAACTTCTAATTCCACATTATTCTGTTTTAGAGGGGCTGACCAATGCTGCATATGGTATTGTAGATGAGACTGCATAATTGATTTTTAGAATGACAATATAATATTCTCTGTCTTATAATTAGGGACGTAAAGGGACCCACTAATCATTGCCTTAATGTCATGCTTACTGGAGTAACCAGTTAACTGGTGCCTGACCTGACTGGAGCAGTCCCTCCCTTCCACCTGTGGTGCAACACAGTGGCCAGTTAACTGATTAAACATGTAGTTTACCTGGTTAACATTTTAAGCAGGATTTTACATTTTTAATCCTAACATTATTTTTGGCCATGGCTGCACACCAAACCATAGTCTTCATTGGCCACAGTGATACCCAGATCCCTTTCCTGAGTTGATGCTCTTAATTTAGAAATAGAGTATAATTTTTCCCTCCAATGCACATTTCTTTTCATTTATCGACAATGAACTTTATTTGCTGTGGTTACCCATTCACCAAGCTTATTTAGGTCCCTCTGAAGTTACTCACAAGCCTCTCTGCTGCACCTGATAAACTTAAATAACGTTGTGTCATTGCACATTTTCCTGCTTCACTGTTTATCTCCCTTTTCAGATCACAAATAAATATATTAAACAACACTGGGTCTGATCTAGTGTGATTCTAGTAGAGTTGTTATTATAGTAGGTAATTTTAGCATTTTCATCATGGCACACATTATATATAATGAGAGAATAAAATGTGCCAGCTAAATTGCCTTGAAGACTGATGCCTCCATTTACCCACAGAATGCGATCTTGGGCAGCACATTCTCTTATCAACATAACTAGCAGTGAAAGGGCAAAAGGGGACTCATTCTTCAATGACATCCAGTTCTTTAGCCTTACACCATGGTAAAGGGTGCCAATGGCGGTGAGGGTTTTTGTGTTGTGAAAGCCTGGAACTAGACCGGCACTGAGCCAGCCAGAGGGGAGGGTGTAAGCCTCTCAGTTAAAATTCCTAGAACCATAGTATCAAATCCAGAAAGGGTTGACTGGGCTTTTCATCCTTCTGAGGTCAATATTCCCTTGCAGCAACAGACTTTTTTTTGAGCCAAAATCTTGAGAATAGGGTGCATAATGTTAGGTATTCAAATCCATAGTTAGGTAATTAAACTTGGGTACAGAATCATAATGGTTAATCTATGTCCTGTGTGGTCTGAAATTGGCATTAAACATACCATAGCAAGAGAGGGAAATTGCCTAAAAGTTTTTGGGGAAATTTTCTGTGATTCCTTTTTTGTGTGCAAGGTACCACCTAGTTGGGTTTTTTTCCCACATAACAGCAGTTGTATTTTGTGATGAATGAATTAAGGCCCACATGACATAGTTAAATGCATTTAATAGAACTTTGCACCTGCACTGAACTTTAATAATTTCAGTGGAACTTCCTCCTAGGGGTGTCAACGTGTAGTTGACTATACAAGTAACCAATAAGCCTGTATCAGAGGCCCCCACAAGCACTGGATCTGCCTGCCTACCCCCACACTGCTTCCTCTGATAGAAAGGCAGCAGTGTGGAGGGTGAGGGGGGCAGATGGGAGTCGCTATGCATGGGGAGCCAACTTTGAAGCAGGGAAAGGGAACTGCCATGGGCCAGCCTCTGTCTGTGGGGAGCTCCGATCCCCATGGATCCCCTGCGCTGCGGTTATACCAACCTAAACCATGGTATAGACAGCACTTCTCCCACTGACATAACTATGCTTCTTTCCAAGGTTGATAAACCAGGCTGGTGGGGGAAACTCTCCCATTGGTGTAGTTACAGCTTCACTGAGGTGCTACAGCAGCGCAGCTGCACCGTTGCTACCTTCCCTGAGAGATGGAGCGCTTAAAAGTCTACAATTTCAGAGTTATGCCCTAGTCATGAAATCATTTATGCACATGCTGAACTTTGAGTGGTTCCTTTGAAGCTACAGCTGGAAGCTTAACATTAACTCTGTTCCTTAATAGAGGTGTCTCTTTATAACCTTATTTGTCAAATTCCTACCACGTTCAGTATAAAATGAAATTTTAGACAGCCATATTTGCAGTAAACTGCAATATATATGTGCCTCAGGCTTGACTTGATCTTTTGTAAAGTCTCAGTGAGATAAATAAGCTAATTGTTTCAGTAGTTTGAATGTTATGAATATTTAAAATCAGCAAGATGAAACTTTTTTTTAGATGAACTCAAACCTGAAAAGTTGTGGCGCACCCTAATAATTTTTTTTACTGTACCTAATGGATTAGGTGGCACTAGAAAATGTCAAATATTATTTCATTGGAAGTGTTAAATGGCATGCAGAAAGACCAATGATTTATCAACCGTTTGCTGAAAGGATGATTATTCCATTTAAAATGTAATATTCTTCAAAGTTTACATTTCATCTTACAACACCTTCTCCCACGGCTGTTTCAGTGTCAGTGTTAATCTTATCTAAAGAGCATAGACCCATTAAAAGTCATTTATGTTTACATGATGGGCACAGCAGCATGGAAATGAGAACAAGCTGTTGCTGTTAAATGGCCTGGTCAGCTCAGCTCAGCTCAGCTGTTGAAGCAGATCTAAGATTAACCCGATGATTGTTTCATGGGACAGAATAACCTCAATGGCAAAGCTCAGACCTAAAGCCAGTATCTTTACTACACCTCACCATAATAGCATGGAAAGGGGGAGTATTCATGGGTAGAGCAGATAAAGATGTCAGGTTTTTAATGCTCTCACCCTTTTACTTACAAATGTACTTAACAGTAAGGTAGGTAAGTAGTTCAATTGATTTCAGAGAGGCTACTCGTTTGAGCAGAATTAAGTCGCTGCATAACAGTGGGCAGAAACAGGGCCATCAGGAAGGATTTTAGATTGTTCAGTAATGTTCCAATTAAAGGTATTCAACATGAGACTGTATTTTTAAAAATAAAAACAAAAATAGTATATTGCTGATGCTGCCATATCTAATACTTGAATATGCCAAGTTCTAACATTTATAATTTGTTCATTCACAATATTTTCATTTTGAAAAAAATCATTTAAAAGCAGTACAGTTTGTGGGTGCACCTTGTTACAAATATCATGTGTAGATTTTAGTTATATAGTATTTCATCTGTCAGAAAGATACATTTTCTTTATATTATTAATCATTCTTAATAATGCTTTGCACCTATATATTATCATTTTACTTTCATCCAAGGATCTCAGAAAACTTTAGAAATATGTGTTTTACAGGCTTCTACTGTAGTGTTTTATATTACCTGAGCACTTTACATTAATAACTAAATTTGTTTCTCTAACACTCTTGTGAAATAGGGATGTATTATTCCCATTTTACATATGGGAAGCGGTAGCAAATACTGGGGAAGTGAATTGTTTAGGGTCATACATAATGCCTCTGATCGACCCAGGAACAGACCTCAAATCTCCCAGTTAACTTAACCACAAGATCATTAATTTTCCTCTCTTCTGTTAAGCCCCTGGGTACCGCTTAGGTTTTTAGGCAGAATTTACTTGGGGCTTTTACCTTAAACAATGAAACAGTACATGTCCCTATGAAATAGCTCAGGATTATTATGTTTACAGGGTTAACTGAGGCAGAGAGTGGTTAAATGACTTGCCTAAAGTCACACATTGAGTTAGAGGCTGTTGTGAGGTTTGTAAAGTATTTTAATATCCTGGCATATAAGGTATAATATAGCCTTATAACTGATTAATAGTAGTCTTGGTATTAATAGGAATTAGTTTCAAAGAAGTCTCTAATAAAGTGAAATTTCATGTTAGTCATAGCATTGACAGTATTTCTCATTCAGCAAAAGAAAGAACTTTCCAGACCTATGTGTCTGAATTTTCCCTAGCTGTGAGATGCAAAGTGATAACAAAAAGCAGTGTTATGGGGTGTGAAAAAGGCTGGAGAAGTCCCCTGTTATTTAATAACATTGTCTGATTAGTGTATTGTCATCTCATAACTACTGGAAATTGGCACATTGGAAGCATGAGGCAAATCAGAGATCAGCTAACAGACTAATGCTCCACACTGTCACATAATAACAAAGCTGACACGGGAACATGTTTGGATTATAAATCAGAAACACTACATAAGACTAAGGGTATTTCATTTCTTTGTAGACTATGGAGAAACCTTTTTAAACTACGAAGCACAGGGAATTGCGATGACTGTGTGCCCTCAAGGCTCATCCAAGCGGGTACATTCTATCCAGTGTGCAAAAACATATTGCTTTGTTTTTCTTTCAAAATGTTCCATTGTTTTAATTTTGTTTGTTTGAAATGTCATTCTGGGGTATATTAGCAGGAGTGTTGTAAGCAAGACACGAGAAGTAATCCTTCCACTTCACTCTGTACTGATTAGGCCTTACCTGGAGTATTGTGTCCAGTTCTGGGCATCACATTTCGGGAAAGATGGGGATGAATTGGAGAGAGTCCAGAAAAGAGCAATGAATGGAGCAACTGATGAAGGAAGATTGAAAAACTGGGTTTGTTTAGTATGGAGAAAAGACCTAGGGAACCTTGGTATTAATTTTCAAACACATAGAAAATTGTTTCAAGGAGAAGGGAGAAAAATTGTTCTTGTTAACCTCTGAGGATAAGACAAGAAGTAATGGACTTAAATTACAGCAAGAGCAGTTTAGTTTGGACATTAGGAGAAACTTCCTAACTGTCAGGGTGGTTAAGCACTGGAATAAATTGCCCAGGGAGATTATGAAATTTCTGTCTTTGGAGATTTTTAAAAGCAGGTTAGACAGACATCTGTCAGCGATTATCTAGATTTTAGAGAATACTTAGCCCTTGAGTTCAGGGGACTGAACTAGAAAACGGCTCAGGGTCCATTCCATTGGTTCAGTCCTGTGATTCTACAATGCACAGGAAGGAGCCTAGAACTGCCACTGTCTCTACTATGACCTGTATTAATTTGCAAAGTATTTTGAAAGCCTGACTCAGAGTGTTACTTGTAAGTGAATGAAGATCAAATGAAAACCCCTGTTGCACTACCATGCCTTGATATTAATCAAGCTTGCAAAACTGTTGTGAAAGTATACCTGCTCAGAGAAAGTCCTCTTGCTTCTACTCCATTACCATTGTGAGTTTGATGATAGGTTAATATTAGAACCTAGATACAATGCTGATTAGGTGCTTTGTGAAAATCTGGTTAGGTGGTGGTAAAGGGAAAAAACACATGTTACTTACCTATCAGAAAAAAACCTAAGCAACCAAACATTACTCCAGGCAAGTGAGTGAGTAGAGTTTTGCAAGGTGGTTGTAAGTAGCAGCCAAGCTGGAATAGATCCACCAGACTCTCATTATCTCCCTCTGGAGTTTTTAAAATGTGTTTTCCTTCTGTTCCTTCCTGCAGGCCTGTTCCTTCCTGGAAATTCAGCAGAAAGTTTGCATTCATAGGTTGCTGAATCTTTTCCATATTAATGGATGACATTTGGTATGTGCACTGCAAATCCTGCTCTGGGACTCTGTGAACTGTGGGGTGCCTGATGCCTGTAATCCCCATTCCCCGCCGTGTCCGTTCTTTCCACGGCCCCCACACAACATGTCTGCATTCAGCCTGTGGCCCAGTAAGGACCACTCACTTGGTGCGCACCAAGTACAACAACTTCGACATCTATCTGAAATCCCGATGGATGTACGGATTCATTCGTTTCCTGCTGTACTTCAGCTGCAGCCTGTTTACCTCCATCCTCTGGGTGGCGCTCTCTATCTTGTTTTGCCTTCAGTACCTTGGCATCCGGATCTTTCTGCGTTTCCAGTACAAACTCTCCATCATCCTCCTCTTGCTGGGGCGAAGGCGGGTGGACTTCAGCCTCATGAATGAACTGCTCATCTATGGAATTCACGTGACCATGCTGCTAGTGGGGGGCCTGGGCTGGTGTTTCATGGTGTTTGTGGATATGTAAATAAAGTGAGCGCATGTGGGCTCAGGAGGCAACTCTTACTCTACCCCCAAAATGTGTGATCTCCCCTTTGCCTTCTTTAATATACATTTATTTATCAGTGCTGCTTTTTTTTTTTATAAAGTCACTTATCTGTCTCAAATTGGGGGCTTTTTAATTTTGTTTGTTTTTGAGGGCTGGGGTGCTGCTTCATTCCAATTCCTCATTGCAAGAGGACAACATTTGAGTTTTTTGTTTGCATAGTAAAAACTTAATACATTCCCTTTCAATCCATAGGAGATTGGCCTGCCAAACTATGCCATTTGGCATGTAAGGTCGGTAATTTAGCTGAAGGAGGGAAACCAAATCATTTTGCACCCTCCCCATTTTATCCATCTATATCCTCTTTCTAAAAATATTCAGTGATGTCCTGTGCAAGAAATATATATTCCTATATATCCAGCCTTTTCCCAGCGAGTATTCTGGATTTTGCATTATCCTTTGCTAAACTTATGGGCCAAATCATCCATTATTTCAGTAGAATTACACCAGGGATGTATTTGGACCGTTTGACATTTTATTTACCTCAGTCTTCAGCTTTGAATGACTTACTACTCTTCAGGCATTTAGGATGGGATCTGCAAAATCACTGTGGATCATTCCCCTCATCATTCCCATTTGAAGTAATGGAAGCCGAGTTACATCCAATATTAAGTGTTTTGAAAATTCCACTCTCAGCAGATAAACTACTAGGAAATAATAGACCTACAGGAACTCATCTCCGTTTCTTCCTTAATGCCGATCATATGCGGGCTCAATTCTGATCTTTCTTACTTTGGGTTTCCTTTACGCCTGGTCTACACTATGGAGTTATTTTGAAATAATCCCCCCTATTTTGAAATAATAAGCAGTGTGATTTAACAGGCTGGTTATTTCAAAATCTGTAGTCCTGCTTTCCTTGGGTAATAATGCTTATTTCAAAATTGTTTCGGAAGTTTTCAATTTTACTTATTTCAAAATAATTTCCTAGTATAGTCATGCCCTTAATGTCTTCATGGAAGTTACTCCTGAATTGTACCAGTACAAGTGAGATCAGACTATGGTATCCTTCATCTAGGGGAAAATTGAAAATTAACCAAAATCTGAAAGTGCAGCAGTGTAAATTCTTAAATATTATGGAAGAAATATTCTGGTTCTGCCACCATTTGAGGTAGTGGAAGGTCAAGTCATTGGAAACTTTTTCTGCCAATTTAATAATCAAGAGACAAATTCTGATTTTAGTCATACCAATCTTAATCTGTGATAATTCCCCTGAAATCAATGTATGCAGCTGACTTCAGAGATTGGCCTAAAATGTCTGTCTGTCCTGAGTTACCAGCATTTCTTGACACATTCTAAGTTTGTTTTGACTTTCCCTATTTTTTGGTAAGGGATTACAAATTGCTTTCTTGTATTGAGGGTGGCAACAGAGACCAAGACCCATTTCTGTTTTCAAACCATTGAAATCAGCGGAGTTACACTCCATGTTGGTATAACGTTAATGTAAGTGAGATGAGACTTAGGTTACTAATATAACAAAGAACATTTTTGTGATCCAATATTTGTCTCCTTCAGTGGGGTTTCTTTATAGGGTCCAATGCATAACTCATGCAGGAAAAAGATGCTTTTACATTGCAGCTTGTGGGAATGGTATGTTTTGATGGTCAGTAGACATTTTGTTTTGCAGCCTTGTGGATACAGAGTAGGGATGCTTCTGTCTGATGCCTTAATCTAGAACAAAACCAGAAATGATCCATACAGCCTGATATTTCAGTAATACAGACTGATCACATGGTGCTGGTTAAGGCTTGCTCCTGGCAGAACAACCTTAGATCAGCACTGCAGTAATTGAGAAATGTTTCAGTGTTGTGCTATGGACCCATGTTCTCTGGATACTCCTTGATAGTTGTCAGAACTCTGCATGTAACTGCTCCCCTTGGGCTTTATTCTAGGAAAATTCATTCAGCTGCTATGTTTATTACATCTGTCAACTCCTGCATTCATCGCCCCTGTGTCTGAGCACTACATGTTCTTCATTTGTTTTACAAGTATCTTAAGTTTAAGGCTAAGATTTTGTCACGGGTCTCTTTAGTAAAAGTCATGGGCAGGTTGTGGGCACTAAACAAAAATTCACAGAACTTGTGACACAGAACGCTGTTGGGATTTGCAGCAGCTCCACCACTGCTCCTGTGGCAGGGGTTTTCTGCTGCTGCTCCAGACCCAATGCTGGCTAGCTGCTGGTCAGTTGTTCTAGTGGTGCTGGCACTAGCCACTGGAAACCTTGAGTTTTGAGGAGCCCCAGGGCTGACAGCTGCTCCAGACCTGCCCCAGAAGCAGCCTGGAAAATAATGGAATCTGTGACCTCCAGGACAGAATCATAGCCTGATATGTTTCCAGAATCAGTGGGAGGGACGGAGATCCTCTGTGATGCTTCCATTCCCCAGTCTTCCCACTCAGAATTCTGACGTTGAGATTCTGGGCTCCAGTGTGCAGACAGACTCTTTATAGCAAAGCCATATTGAATCTCTGGGGAGTGTGGTCCCCAAGGATAACAATGCCCTTTTATCTCCATTGTGCATGCAGCTCCTAGCCTAAGGGAGTATCTTAGCCTCCCTGACAATCCATAAGGGAGCCACAGCAGGCCATGTAAGTTACAGCAGCTGTGGAACTGGTCTAACGCTAGTGGCCTCACCAGCACCTAAACCATCCAAAACCCCAGAGGTGCAAAAGTCAGGTAAAGCCACTTGTGCTCCTCCCACTACACCTGGCTGGCCCAGCACTGAATCTGGTATGAAGTCAGGTGGAAACTTGGCAGGGAGGATCTATTTCAGTGCCTATTTAAATAATAGCCGAAAGAGGGGTGAGTGGAGTGTGGTGTGTATTTCCCTGATTTCCCCTCACCTGCTCCAACTTCCATGTGTTTTCTACAGCAGTCCAAGCCCTTACTGATCCGGGGAGTCAAGCACCAAACCTGGATCCTGGTGTTTCAGTGCATTGTACTGTTCCTAAAGCACCACACTAGCCCTCTTGTGTCCAAAATTGGATATTACATATCAATCGAATGTCCTTCTCTAGGCAAGTAAAAGGGTATTGTTTGCCAAGTCAAGGATAAAAGGTCACACAAGATTAAATCTAGATGAAAATGGTGCCTTCCGTAGGCAAATGATCCCCCAATTTATTCCTCTACACCCAAATGTCTGCTACCAAAATGCCCTAAAGCTTTGCTTTCCAAGACCTGACTTCAGGACTCTTGTGATTCTCCTGCAAAAGTGGATAACTTGGAAGGCTGTAATTGCATGGTGTGATCAGCAGGCGAACAAATAGCCAGACTCCTAGGTTCTATTCCCGGATGTTTTGCTGTGAGCTTGGGTAAGTCACTGAAATGGTCTCATTTTCCACATCTGTAAAATGAAGCTAATACCTACCTTCCTTTGTGAAGTGCTAGTGATCTTTGGATGAAATGTACTAAATTACACAAAGGGCAACATGTCACAGGCATTAAGCCAGTGCAAGCGTCTATATTCTTAACATCACTGTAACCTGTGAATTGTAATCAGCTGCATATGGGGAAACTGACCTTTGAACACCAATATTGGCAGGTAAGAGGAAGAGGGAGTAATTTTCATATCCTTTGTTTTAAAATGTCAATTTGAATTTTTTAGATGTATATGAATAGAATAATATTTGGCACCTATATAGCATTTTTCATCTTCAAAGTGTTTTACAAACACTGGCTAATTAATCCTCACAACATCCCTAGGAGGTTGCTGAATAAGTAAGATCTTGGTAATGATTTGGAATTGCAATCAGGTTTTCAATACAGGGATTTTGTTGTTTAAGTGCTGATGTTTATTTTTAAGTAAAGGTTTTTCTCGAGTTGAGATGTTCAAGGTGACCTACAAGTTCAAGAAGGTACGCTGTGAGCAAGAACACTGTTAACCAAACCACGGCTATATAATGGACAAACTAAACGACACAGTAACATATGTGCTTTCAACAAGGAATTTTTTCATATAAAGCTTTCTGCCTTGCAAAAATCCAAATAATAAAATGGGTAGAAGCTAGAGTTTATTCCTATGTCTTTAGGAGTCAGACAAATAGCCAGTGTTAGTTACCAGCAATATTTTAGTCTAAGCCAGTGGTCCCCAACTTTTTTAAGCACAAGATCATGTTTTGAATTTAAGTGCAATCCAGGATCTACCTCAAACCCAAATCCCCTTGCCCTGTGTCCTTCGTGCCCCTTCTCTGTAGCCCTGCCACTGCTCACTCCATCCTCCCTCCCCCATTCTCCCTCCCTTTCACCAGGCAGGGGCAGAGGGTTGGGGTGGGATTTGGCATGTGACAGGGGCTTTGAGCTGGGGTAGGGGCTCGGGGTGCAGAAGGGGCTTCATGACTGGGGCAGGAGAACTGAGCTGGCTCCAGCTGGACACTGCTGACCTCAGGTGGCTCCTGGATGGTGGTGCAGTGAGGCTAAGGCAGGCTCACCCTGGCCCTGCACCACTCTCAAAAGCAGCCAGCAAACTTCCCTCCATCCTAAGTCCTACTCTGTTCTGTGGAGATAGAACACAGGGTGGGTGGGGGCACCCTGACATCAGCACCCTCCTCTCCCTCTCCTGCTCTGCACCACAAGCAGGAGGCTCCCAGGGAGGGGCAGCTCCAAGGCAAAGGGCCGGAGATACGCAGGAGGGGGGAGGAGGGGCAGCTGAAGTGCTTGGCTTGTTAGCCTCTTGGCCAAACCAGTGAGGATCACCTGTTAGATGCTCCAAGATCTACCAGTAGATCCCAATCTACTGGTTGGTGACCACTGGCCTAAGCAGATATGTGCAAACCCTATTCCACTGTGGACATCAATTTTTTCCATAGATTTATTCTTGTTTCCCAAGTGCACCAAGACATGAGAGTGACCTGGTCAGATTAACCGTAATTGGGGGATGAGGAGGGGAAGGAGAGTTCATCATTGTTACAAATAACACTGTAGGTAGTTAAAACAATTTGAAAAATGTCATCAGTTTTTCAACCTGGAAAAACTTGCC